ATGATTTGTCGATACTTTATTTTTTACCGCGATATTTTCGATCACGATGTTTTTAAACTGCGAAGTTTTTGAACCGCTTTATTTTCGACGACGATATTTTGTACCACAATGTTTTAGAACTGCGATGTTTTCTCTTTGCGATGTTTTCTCAGACGATGTTTTGTAGCACGACGTTTTCGCCTTGCGTTGTTTTCTCCGCGACGTTTTCGCCCGCGATGATTTTGCCGCGATGTTATCGGCGGACACCAAATAATGACAGTTGGGCCCTTCTCGGGTTTACAGGAAAGCCTCCACTTGGGCTTTAAAATAAGATAAGAAAATCAGAACCTTACCTAATACTAAACTAAGCTAACTTAGCCGAAGCTAGACACAATTACCTAACGTAGTTGACCCTTAATTAAATTAGCCGGCAATTATCAATAAGCACGTAAAATACGGCCGAGCATAGTTAGCTTAGTAAATAAGGAACTTGACCGCGAACATGCGCGTCTAAGGAATGCATGCGGCAAACATGCGTCACTAAGGAGCTTACTCGCATGTTGCGCCTCAGCTCTTCTACTTGAAGTAAGCTGAACCTGCCTTAAATATTTCTTCTACCTCATTTACATACAAAACGATACTAAAAACTCATTCTGGTAGGGAGTCATAAGTGGGAAACAAGAATTTAAAGGGTTTCAAAATTAAAAAATAACTGTTACACTTAATGATAATAAAATAAACCTTACACGTTTAAGGCAAAAAAACAGTTTCTTCTAACTATTTTTACAGCTAAAACGTGAATTTCGGTTCAATGCTTATCATATTCCTTATCATAGCGACCTTCACTATGCAACGGCCAATGCAAAAAGTTCGCAGTACTAATAATAGTATATTATTACTTGTGTATAGGTTCGCAATGGATTGAATGCATACTGAACCGATGATAAACTTGGTAAAATTTATTTTCCTAAAAGAAACACATTACAATTTTGGAAACTTTTGTAGTGTCATTAGTTTGATTGGAAGCAGAAAAGATTAAAAATATGCAACCGCCTTCGCCGGGAATCGAACCACGGACTTCTGTAATACCGGCCCAGCGTGCTACCGTTACACCACGAAAGCACGCTAGGGAAGTGGGAGAAATACCTTATACTTTCAGAAAAGTACTTGTACAGCTATTCTCAGTATAACAAAGCATAATATGTAGTTATCACTTCAGAATGCTCTTACTTTAAATACAACACAATGCAAAGCAAACCCAAATAGCGAAGCTCGCACGATCTCTCAATACTCCGAAGTCAGGCTCTGAACTAAATAAAAACTGAGAACTGATATTCTCTCCGGTTTTAAGTAGTTTCTCCCGATCGCCGAGAAATCTCTAGTACCATCCATTTCTCAAAATTACTGAAAGACATATGCAGCTAACGTTACATATAAATGCCGGAAACGGTTAGAATTACATATAGGGATCAACAGGGACAGGAGAAAAATGTCGGCAAATGGTCGCCAACTTTGGGCGATTTCTAGCTTAATTTGGCGACAGAAATTAGTCGCCAAAGCTATCACCGGCTTCGCGATATCTCACCAATTTATCAAGGTATCCATTTACCTCAATGTTAAATAGCATCTATAACCTTATTTCTCCGGCACAGCATCGCTCTCTTCAGATTTTTCATGTTACATTATACAAAAAATACGACAGTATCACATATAATTTCACTAAAATTACTTACATATGTATAAAATTCGTAACAATTTTCAGCCCGCTTTTGTTATAACGACTGCTGTTTACAAGGTCCTTTTACCTTAAGAGTCTAAAACTTATAAGCTTCAGGTATATATTCATTCACTCGTAATGTAAGATGTTCCTAAAAACATTTAGATACGTCTTTAAGTACTAGCGGATACATTTTAAACAATTAAATAACTCAAATCATCTGATTATATATTACTCGTTAAACTGCTGTCATTGTGAATTATTTCAACCAAATTTATTTTCAAATCCGTTAACGCACGCGTTAACCTAATAACCTTGAAACTGTCAACCTTGATTTTTGATGAATATGCTTATTTCGAATCTCAAGGGCATTTAGAATGCTGCGTGATTGCCTGTCATCTGCTTACAGACGGTGTCTCATAACGCTTAATAAAACTTTAATATAAACTGTCATATGACATCCAAATTTTTTGCCAAGTATAGCCTTGAATTATTACAAAAGGTTTATTGCAAAACTTCAAAAATATAATAAAATGAAATATTACTAACTCTTGAATAAAAAGTACGTTTTTCCAAAACCATTCAACGAAATCATGTTCGTTTGAAACAAACAAAAGCTCTGTGGACACTCTGCCAGATAACTTAAACTGAAGTCGTTCGTATGACAGAACTTTTACGAGCGGAACAAAATGAGCTATTTAAAAGCAATGTTAAGTACTTCGTACTTCTCAAAAAAGAAAAAAAGAAACAAATTCGCAACAAGAATGTTAATAAAACATTTGCTGTTTGAATTGTGGTTACAACTATTAAGATGTGTTTTTAACACTACATGCTGTACTTTCGCTGCAGACATTCTTTTTCTCTTCCTCAATTACACAGAATTTTCCATAACAAAGAAATCCAGAGGATGTCTGCGCATGCAGTCTCTAAAATGAAGAGAATAGTTTCGGATAAGGGAAAACCAAAACGATTCTGTTATAGGCAGGTATGATAAGGTTTATATTATTGGTCATACTAACTAATTCTTCGTTGAAATTTAGGAAATACACTTATTTTTTTACTTCATAGTTTTCATTTTTCAACATTATTATTAACATACTGATACTATTACACTACCATAAAAATGACACATTATTTTAAAACTCAGAAGCCCACCATCGGCCGAGCGATAAAGTGGCTGAACACTCTTAGTTTGATCTGGGATTGAATTCCGGCGAACGGGCTGGTTGCATGGTTGGTTTTCGTACTGCTCCTCTTGTGTGACGGGGAGACAAGCCAGTTGCATCTAAAAGATCTTCCACGAAGACATCTCTACCCCTAAGTAGATAGCCACCAAGTTACTTGGTTTTCACCAATTAACCTAACCTAACCTAAACTTTAAATCTCAGTGAAATCTCAAAGATTAGTGCCCGTCAGAATCATAAATTGAGGCTTATTATCAATTTTTCTGATTGCTGCCAACACAGACTTTGTTAATGAGATCTTATAATTCCAGGCCTACACAGCTCTAGAAACGTTACAATAACGCAATGACGCTACAAATGTCTTAAAAAATTATCAGTTGAAGATATTATAAATTTTCTAATTTACATAAGATATGTATGTAAATTAGAAACAAATATCAGATTTAATAAACCTAGCAGAATAGTGAATGAAGTCAGCTTCTGCACCTTCAGTATCTTTTTGCGAGTGGGACCAGAAGTAAACTTTAAGTTCTGTGCACCGAAAAATCTGCCTTCTTGTCCGCTGGTAATATGCTGTTTATAATATTTTTTGAGTTTGCTGTTGAAGTGAATTGTAGCGTAAATACGAAGAACGGAATATTTAGTAAATAAAGTTAACACATAAAAAGTTTTAAAAAATCTGAAAGCTTTCAGATTACATAAAATGTTTTAAAAAATCTGAAAGCTTTCAGATTTTATATTACGCCCAAACGGGCCTTTTGTTTTTGTGTCATTGTCAAGTCACATTGTACTAAAAATTTTTTTAAACAGTATATCTTTAGAATTTACTATAGACATTCTCGCGCGCTGGAAATAATTTTTTCTTCCCATACCGTGTTGCCATTGCGCTCTTTAAAATCGTTGAGTTTTTTAATTAAAAATTCATTAAATTTTTATAAAATATGAAATAGGCAATAAAGCAAATTCCAAATGCGGGCTTCCAAGTGCCATGTTCGATTGGAGGACTATGTTATTCAAAATTTTATTACTCTAGATACCGTTGTTTTTTCACAATGCGAGAAACATACATGCATCCGTGTAGATACTTGATTATTTAGTTTCTTTAAATATAATACAGGGCGATAATATTTGGTGGCAACAATCTGAAAAGTGATTTAACGCAAAATTCCGTTTTAAGACTAATAGCCCTTCTGGGCTAAAGCCCATTTCAGCTAATACCAAATTTATTTTTACGAGTTATTAAACAAATTATGTTGTAAAAATCTGTCTTTAGTTAAAAAAAGAAAGAAGCTAAATGCCTTATACATACTTATTTTTTAAATCTGAGACAGAATTCTATAAATCATACCTTATCTTTGAAAATTAAAATTAGTATAATTTTAATTCAGATTGGTATATTGTTTAATTTGAGTTGGCTTTGATTTATTAAATACTTATTAATTTCGAAGTAGTCAAGCAACGTAGATCTTTCTTTATCAAGGAGAAAATGTATTTCGTTTAATTCAAAGTAGAATAATCTTGTTCCTTCAAAGAGGGACCTATGTTGCTCGACTCTCAAAATCTCCAGAATTGTCTAATTATAAATTAATGCTACTCTAAGGGTAAATATCTGTCTAATTTATTTTTTGACTTTGAAGTTCGTTACTTCTGCACGTATAATTTTAATTCTCAGACTGAATTAAGAAAGAAAATTATTTTTAATTTCAATTTTCCGAATTACATTATTTTTATTCTCCAAGATGTGCTTAATAACTTAGAACCTTAAATATTATGTTTTCTTTGAGGTAAAAAGCACATAAAATGAATAGAAAAAAAAACGTATTTATTTATTTCCAAACCTTTAATGATTATTTTAAAATGAATTAACCGATTTCCAAATAAATTAACCGATTTCTTTGGAAATGAAAAATATCTATTAAGAGCAGGAAGAGAAGACACCATAAGGATGAATAGAATTTAAATGCGTAATTTTTTATTTTCAATAACGGAAATTTCATTTCATTCAACAGTAATACCACGGAAGTGAAATTCAAGTTATTATGAGGAAAGTTATATATGAAAAACAACCAAATAATCATTAGCAAAGTCTCAGCAGAAAGATCACTGGAACATGCTCTTACCTGTTGAGGCGAAAGTGCCCAAGAGAATTAGCGTCGAGATTGCCGTGAGGAGTTCCATGATTCAAATACTGATGCTGAGGATGCGAAGTTTAGAATGAGAATGACGAAGATGTTCCTCTACTCCGACCTCGGCTGTATTTCCGACCGGTTCCGCAGGTCGGAGGTTGAAAGGTTACTTTGCGGAAAATTTGAATGCACGCCAAACCAAGCGATAAAATTATAATTATAGAACACATTTCTTGATATTAGGAAAAAGTTTCAGATACTTGTTAGTCCAAATAACGGGCTTTGTCCCTGAAGGACTATTGTTTTCTTTTCGGGGATTTTTGAGTTGGTTCACTATAAATGTCCGTTTCACTTTTCAAACTGTTTCCACCCAATGTTAGAGTCCTGCATTATATTTGAAGAAATTAAATAATGAAAAATCTGCATAAATGTATGCCTGTTTCTCGCATTGTGATAAAACAACGGTACATAGAGCCATCGAATTTTGAATGACAGAATCCTACTGCAAATATGGGCATGTGGAAACCTAAATTTGAAATTTGGAATTTGTTTTATTATCGATTTCATATTTTGTAAAACTGTAAAACAATTTGTGAAAAATTTTCAAATTTTTATTAACAAACTCAAGGATTTCAAAGCGAGCAATAGCAGAAAAAACATTTTATCATTATTTTTTTTTTCTGTACAACAAAAATTTAAAAAAAAACTTTTTTTTTAATTATTTATTTTTGCTGTACAGGTAAAAAAATTAATGATAAAAATGTACAGAAAAAACATTTCTTTTTTTTTTTTAATTATTTATTTTTGTTGTACAGGAAAAAAAATTAATGATAAAAATGTACAGAAAAAACATTTTTTATCTTTAACTCACGAGACTGCGTATCGGAAATTCTAAAGATGTATTTAAAATTATTTTGCGATTTTGTTCTTGAACTGAATTTTATGGTTTAAGTGCGAAGAACTTGATATTTAATAAATAAAGGTAACAGACAAAATGTTAAGAAAACGCCCCTTTGGACGTAATTTAAAATCTGAAACCTTTCAGACTTTTATTTTTTTTTTTTTTTATTTTTATTTATTTTTTTTTTTTTTTTGTATGTTCTAATTATTTTTCGAAGTTTTCGCTTTACAGCGTCTATATCTTAATCTTTCAATTTTTGTCACACAATATGTTACGCTAGGCTATCAAGGCATTTATCATCTACGTAAAAGATAGGATTTCAGAAGCAACGATTGGCTACATAAATTATCAGGCATTTTTCTTTATGTCATGCGATTATGAGCAGTCAGTTTTCTTTATAAGGTCCTCCCTTCAGATACGCATATAGCTTTTGATAGCTTTGCTGTGATCAACTGACTTTCCAGTATCCATGCGACGTTTTAAGCATTGCCATTCAAAGAGATATAAATTATATCATTCATCATTTATGCTGTTTGGCAGATTAACTCTCAAAGGATTTTCCATTCAACAATACGTAAATCTCTTTATCTTATCTTTAAAATTAAAACAAAGCAAACTTCAGTAACTGAGCGATATAACAATAATAAACAGTTTCTCCAAAAGTGTTGTGTCATCTTCGACTCTTCTTTTAAAACAGCAGTATATGTAAGGAATTTTCTGCTTCTTTTCTGCATGCTTGTGGAGTGTAACTGGCTAGCTATCAGAAGGCCCTGAGTTCGAATCCTGACGAGCGAATCGCTGAATCTTCGTTTTTCTTGTTCCGACAAGTACTTAATAAAACCTACGAATGGCGCGCGAATTAAAATAGGGCGGACGATAATTCACCACCTGGATTTATGTGTTGGGTTCTCCTCCTCTTGTCATTCTTTAAGTAGGAGAGAATGTAAAGAATTTTCTACTTGCTTACTCCATGCCTTCATGGAGTAATTGGAGGCATGTTCGGCAGGCAAGCGGAAAGTTCCGGATTAGAATCCTGGCGAAGGACACGTTGCTGATTTATGTTTTCCCCTCCGAAATAAACCAAATATATATATATATATATATATATATATATATATATATATATATACAATAACTTACAATATTTTTAACTGCCTTTGTAAGTAAGATTTTATTCTAGTCCTTACAAAATTATACATCGAATTTTTCCACATAATTATTTAACTATTTTCAATAAATAAATAAATAAATAAATAAAACTCAATCAGCATTGGAAAAAGGATCCGCATAAATGCCGGAACATAGATTAAAATACTACTAAAAGCATCGAAAAATACCTAAATTTTCGAAAGTCTAGTACTTCGAGGGTCAGGCTTTTGTTTTACCCATTGTTAACGTTTTGGCATTTTGAGTTAACTTTTTTCGCAATTTCTTTGGTAATACTGATGTAAATTTCTGCAAATATTTAAATTCATCTGATTGCGTTATTGTAACAACTGTATTGTTTTATACAATAATTTATTTATTTGTTGCTTTTGGAGTGATAATTTTAGAGTTCATTTTGTGTTTAACTAAATTTGTAACCACATACTTTGTATATAAACATTTATTTTTTAAATATAATTGTAGATTTTTCAGTTCTCTGTGAAGTACTTTTAAATTCAAAAACAACTCAACTAGATCGCGAAATATGATCAAAACGCTCCTGCACCTTGGCAATATTTGGCGATTTCTCACCAACCTGGCGACATTCTGAAAGATTCGAGAAAATGTATTTCAAAGCTCTTTGACCAGTTTTCCCGATTTTTCCAGAAGCCTATACAGCTAAGAAGTACTGCTTTGACAGCTAGGAAGAATCAGTTGTTAATCAGCTCTCAGAATTTGCAGCTTAAATGCGTTTGAGAATCGGGAATTTACTGTATTTCCAGTGCGCTAAGAAAGATTTACTTAATACCCACGTTCTCCTGAAGTTATTTACAGTTTCTGATTTTACTATGTATCATTATTATTTTATTATAAATTGTCAGTTTCTTTCTGCTCAATTGACATCTGCGAGACTGTAGCTAGCAGTAATCTTGTTTCATTCGTGTTTCATTATTATTTTAATTTGGTTTTTTTCATGAAATTCTATATTTTTTTAGTTCCCACCTTTTGTTTCTTTCAAGTATGCTCAATCGGATTTAAATTTCTGTATTTCTTTGTCAATGTAAAACGGACGTCAATGTAAAATATTCTTAATTTTTGAAAAGATATACAGCGTTTGAACATAATTAAATACAAAAAAAAATTGTACAGAGAAGCTTATAAACTGTACTTTACTCATCATAATCAAAAAATTCATCATAATCATTGGATTTTATCTTTTATGCAGACGACTGCACATGCAAAAAGTAAGAATAAAAAAATTTTGCAGTTGAGCTCTAAAGTAAAGACCTATTTCATCTATGAGACTCATGGTATAAACAACAATAGTTTACAAATAATGTTCAGTCGTCCATGTAAACTGATTGTTTAAAAGATTAACTTAACACTGTATTAAATAATTTACTTTTATAATGGATTAATTCGAATATGAATGAACGGTTTTATTCAAGATCGACCGCTAAGACTATCTATTAATCTCGAATGCGAATTTCAAATCTAAAAACAAATAACACCTTTTTGAGATATTTTTAAAAAAATCTGAAAGCTTTCAGATTTTATATTATGCCCACATGGGCGTTTTTTTGCATTTACATATACATACACGCTTCGAGAGCATTTGGGCTAATGCACCTTTGGGCTAAAACTACTTAAAAACGCCATTCATTCATATTCCTCATAATTTAATTCCTTTAAGTAATAAGGGTATTACTTAAGTATAATATAGGGCGATAATATTTGGTGGCAACAATATGAAAAATGATACAGCTGTTATAGCGATACGACGCAAAATGCCGCTTCCAGACTAATAGCCCTTCTGGGCTAACACGTCTTTGGGCTAAAACAATCAGGAAGTTTGGAAACTAAAGCAATAATGAGAGTTACTTATATAGTACCTTTCTCAAAAATACTCTAATAGAGACTTCGTTTGCCAGGACTTTCACTCACAAGTTAACGACAGTACTTGATACAAGTGCGTGCATGGCAGGGTTACTAATCTGTTTGAAAAATCTGTGGTATTGCCAAAAATCAGTGAAGAGACAATCAACTGAACCACAAATTTCGTAAGGAACGCAATTAAGTATACTAACTGAGTAATGGGTCCACTAAAGGCTTGTCCGTTTAGTTAAGGTAGCCATAATAGTTGTCTTTAAAGAAAAGCTACTAGGCAAAAATTCATTAGAAATCTCACCCATACACTTGGCATTCGTAAGTGTGGAAATTACTAGCAAAGGAAGCAACACAGTCGCAAGAAACTAAAGAGTAGTTATGTAGAAAAGTAAGTAAATAAAATTTATAAACCAGTAGAAAGTTTAGGTAAGCAGGTAAATTTTGAAAAATAAATGTCAGTTTTACTTAAATAAAAGCAAGCAAAGTTAAATTACAAAATAAATTACAAATTAATTGTTAATAAAAAAGTGAAAATCAGTCAAATACTTTTTATATTAATTGTATTAATATAATTGTATTATTGTACTATTTATATTATTTCAATGCATTACTATTGTTGCGAAATGCTCATGTGTGGTGAGTTAGCTTCCCCGCAAAGCGGGCTTAGGGTTGCCAGAGAGTGGCGGGGAAAAGCAAGGTTACACATACACAGATGCCCTTAAAAGTTGTTTTATAAATGCATCCGAAGAACTACTTCAGGATTTTAAGAACAAGGCAGAAATTCTTGAAAAAATTACAGAGTTGCCATTATCTGCTAAAGTAGTAAAAAATAGAACAGTCAAAATGCCTTTGAATATAAACAATCAGCAAATCGAAGACCTTAAATTGGTTTCAGCTTTATCAATAACTGTTGGCAAATCTTGTGACATAAATGGCATAGCGCAAGTTTTATTTTTATTTAATTTTTTTCTTCTGCGGGACCTAAAGAAACAACTTTAGGATTATCATCATTCAAAATCGAATACGTGGCAAGAATTTTACAAAATTTGTATTTGAATGCACAAAGAAGCATTATATTCCACTCGATAAAATTGTTCCAGTCTCAACAGATAGGGCAAAAATTATGACAGCAGTGAGAAAAAGGTTTTATTTCTATTTTGAAGGGATAATTAATCACGAGGTACTTGTTTACGGTTGCATTATTC